ATCAGGTTACTAATGGCAGCTCAAGGATCCAATCCAACTTACACATGAAAAATCTGGACAAAATTGTGAAAGCAATTCGAGAAGTACAAATAATTTGTCGATGCAAAATTCCTGACTTTGCACTCACCTCAATATCAGTGCTCGAGTACAAATACAGTTCTTCAGTTCCAATGCTTAGACGGTCAGCTCTGCTTCCAATTTGCTCCACACTCTACCACAAAATCAAAGAGAGTCCTCAAGAAGGGGAAAAGGTAGATTGTAATTGTGATACAATAATGACACAGACAGGTTGGCCAGAAAAAAGACAAGGAACGCATACAGCAGATGCCTATCAGAGAAAATTTATATCTTCATTATGTGGTGTAGCTTTCTATCAAGACTCCCCGAGTAAAATTATCTCATGGATAAATGATATGGTACAAGCCAGAGAAAGCCCAAGGCAGAAAATGTGGAAGAGCCTATATTTACAAACAAGAAAAACCGTCCGAGAAGCGAAAACAAATTTGATCTGGCAACAAGAATGAATATGCATGACAGCAAAGACCAGCAGCAGGCTAACATGAAAACTCCATTTACCTCTTCCCCAGAGACATATACTACTGGAGCTGATCTGCCGAGATCGCGCCCTTCAGCAATCATTGCAGCCATCTTCCAATAGAAAAATATTAATATTACGAGATGGACAATGTAGAGCAAAATGGTTGCACAAGGAGATAGATATACAGAGAACTAAACATATTTTATGAATATTTAATGTAACCTTTAAGTACATTACCTGCAGCAACAGGGTACTCTTGCCAACACCAGGATCACCTCCCACCAAAATTAAGGAACCTTTAGAGCCACAATGCAGCAAAATCAATAGCTTTGATGAAATTAAATTCTTCAAAACTTCCATATATCTCAAGCGAAAGTTCTAGTTCAGCAGCAGATTCATGCCGACCATACAGCAAAAAAGTAGGTCAAACCTGGCACGAGACCACCACCTAGCACTCTTGAAACCTCCTCTCCAAACGGTCCATACCTGAATATCAAGCACCCCAAGAGAACATTTACGCTTTGGAATTTGGGCGACACGTGTTTCTTCCAAAATTAATTATTAGAAGTGCTAATGTGTTGGAATAACCAGCATGAATGGTTTCATCAAGGTGGACAACAGATTGTCATCAGGACCAAAAGTCATATCATCACTCTCATATTACTAAAAAAAAAGATATATACTATCATTCCAGCAAAATTTCATTAGAAAATTTCAAAACCACCACATAACGCTCTATGATCCAACTCCTGGAAAGATGTTTTGAGATAAACCATGTCAAATGTAGATAAGACAATAAAACGAACTAAACAACAACTTTCTTCTATTTCTGTAGCAGCTGCAATATAGGGTCCAAAGCTAACCAGTTATTAATTTCCAAGAACAGAACAAACTTACAGAGGAATCCGCCACTCTAACTGATTCAACCCCCTATTCACATCCGTCAACCGCAGTGGCCGCACCTCGCCAGCCCGCTGCGGCATCCACGACCGCACCACATTCTCCGACACCTCGAAACCCCTCACTTTCTCGCTCCCGCCGCCGTTCTCCTCCACCACGAACTGCTTCATCGTCCCGGCGCTGCGGCACGACCTGCAAGAACCCCACCACTGTCCATCCGCGTACCCGCAATCCGAACAAACCCAACAAGCCCTCTTCTTACCCTTCTTCCCACTCCCAGCATAAGAACTCCTCCCGCCCCCAAAATGCCTCCTTTCTTCGGAAATCTCGCCGTTCCCACTTCTCGCTCCGCTCTCAGGGCCCGACCCTGCTTCCCCGCCGCTGCTCCTGACCCATCGGGCGGCGGTGTCACTGGTCTCCGACTCGGAGCCCGAGGACAGGGCCGCGAGGCTGCGGTCTTGGGAGAGGAGGCGGTGATTCGTGGAGTGAATACCGCGGTGGAAATGGGGGTTCTGGAGGGGCTTGAAGAAGGAGGCGAGGGAAGTGGGGCTCGAGGTGGGATGGAGGAGGCGCTTGTGGGTGCAGAGCGTTCTCAGAGCTCTCATGTCTGATGCTTGCATGACATGAAAAAGGGTGCGCGAGAATCTCGGAAAGGTAGAGTCTTTAGGGCTTATTAGCAGAGTTCAGAGCGAGAGGAGGACGACGAAGTCAGCACGAAACCCCGCGAAGTTCAAAAGACAAGCGGAGCTTCGGACAGGTAAGAAGGGCCTGTTTGGTTCGGCTTTGGGGGAATGCATTTGGCAAAATGCAAATACCTTTGAGTTAAAGTGATTTTCCGAAATGCAAGTAGTGTTTGGTAACGTATATTTTAAAATCACATTTGAAAACAACTTTGGTCTAAATACCGTTTGGTAAAATCTTAATTTTGTAAAGGACTTTTGCTAATATTTAAAAAAAAAAAATTTGGCCTGAACCAGCCACCGCCGGCGACTGTCCGGCAGGCCAAAACGGCCGCCGGCCAACCTCCGGCGGCCAGATCTGGCCGCCGGCCAGCCTCGCCTGAGGTCGGCCGACCTCCGGCGACCACCGCTCGGGGGTCGCCCGACCCCGGCGATCGCGCGCTGGGGTCGCCCAGGACCTCACGCGGCGCTCGGGTCGCGCGACCCGGATCCGGGTCGCGACCCGGAAGCGCCGCGTGAGGCTCCGGCGACCCCAGCGGTGGTCGCCGGGTCTGGGCGACCTCGGCGGCTCGCCACTTGGGGGTCGCGCGACCTCCGGCGACCGCCGCCCTGGGCGCCCAACTCGGGCGGTGCTCGGGTCGCGCGACCCAGATCTGGGTCGCGACCCGAGTGCCGCCTGAGGCCGGGCGACCCCAGGCGGTGGTCGCCGGGGTCGGGCGACCTCGGCGATCGCCACTGGGGGTCGGGCGACCTCCGGCGATCGCCGCGCAGGGGTCGCCGACCCCGCTGACCGCCGCCTGGGCGCCTGACTCGGCGCGGTGCTCGGGTCGCGCGACCCGGATCCGGGTCGCGACCCGAGTGCCCCCCGAGGCCGGGCGACCCCAGGCGGTGGTCGCCGGGCCGGGCGACCTCGGCGACTGCCACTTGGGGGTCGGGCGACCCCCAGGCGGTGGTCGCCGGAGGTCAGCCGACCCCCAGGCGGCGGTCGCCGGACCTCTCAGCGGCCTCCGGTGTGGTTCCTTGGGCACGATGAACAGTGACGGATGAATAGTGCCAATTGCATTCCGGAAATGCAATTTCCCCAAGGGACCTCATGAGGTGCATTCAGCCAAAGGCCTTTAGGGAGCTTTGGAGATGCAATTGCATCTCCTCAAAGCTTGCAAAAAAAATTGCCAAACAAGTTTGCATTTGCCCAAGACCCTTTAGAGCCCCAAATCAGCATTTGAATGCTGAACCAAACAGGCCCGAAGTAGAGAAGAAGATCATCAAGGTCAGGGCTCACTGTCTTCGTTTTTCCCGAAACTGAAAACTAAAATGGTTAATACCACCAAAAAGCCTAAATTTTATGTATTTATAATAAATTTATTTTAAATTAATATTTTGATTATAAAAAATTTTAAACTGGTGTATTTGTGATAAATTTATTATCTGTTAGTTTACGTTATATTTTACCATCCGTTTGTCACAGGTGCATCGACTTGTGATTTCCGTGGTGCTAATCCAATTTAATGAAAACTAACGGATAGTAAATTTGTCACAAATATATCAATTTTGAAATTTTGTTGGTAAAAAATTAATTTTTGGTAAATTTGTCATATGTGTACCAGTTTGAGATTTTTGGTGGTAAAAAAATTAGTTTGGGATAAATTTATCACATATGTATCAGCTTGGGGTTTTTCGTGATATTAACCTAAAGAAAAATTAAGGAGTTAGATTATTGAATTATGCCGAAGACTTGTCAATTGCTAATTAAAACATTAAAACTATCAAGTCGTGACACGTGGTACTTGAATTTTCCGGTTGCAATTCCCATTTTGTTGTCTCATCTATACTAATTATATAAAGCAGAGAACACCTTACCATACACTTCGTTTCTTATTTCATAACATATCATATCTAATGAGCCAACTAATAATTCAATTTTATTTCTTATGGATTTTCATCGGGAAATTTGAATCTTCTTAGCGACTTTCTTGAAAGAATTGCAAATCTTGCACTAGATTTCTCTTTCGTTCTATATTTAAATAATACCCTTGTACACTTTTATGAATTCGATGAGTTAAGTTTCTCGTATTAAGTTGGTTTAATTTAATATTTAGAGAATTCTTTTTTATTTGGGAAACACACAACACGTGCGCCCATTTACTAGATTACGCGACATGTGGTAACAGATTCATTAGATTACCCGGCTGACAGATGTAAGTAGTTTTGGTTCTTTCAGTGCAAAAAAAGCAACTTCCTTTCTTCAAGATCATCTCTCACTATATGAGTCCATAGGGAGGATAAGTCACAGGCAAAACCTTGAAGTGCTATCATATCATCCAAAGAAAATCCCATCGTCCACAATTACAGACCCAAAGGAAGGTTTTGGAGCACATTATAAGCACTGTCTCGTGGGACACTTTTTCAGACATGTTGCCAAATCATAAGCAGCGAGCGTGAAGGCACCTCGCCCAGAAAGAGTCGAGCATTCCTTCAGCTCCAACAGCGTGCGGGGTTCATGTACGGCCTCTCGTTTGCAGTCACGGCCACGCGCGACATTGCTGCCTCGACTAGTTTCTGAGCAGATGCGGGCGCTGAACCGCCCTTGTAGCCTCTGATCCATGATGACCTGTCACCTCGATATCCTCTTGTCCGATAAGAGGCAACATCGATTGGATGACGTGAGTGCTGCTCTTCAGGCTACTTAGGTGGCTGTGGTTGGCAAAGATCGTCAAAAGATGACTTTGTTTTATAAAACAGATGGTATAAAAATGAAAGAAATTCATTTTTTCCTCTGCTTAATTATACAGGGGTTCACATGGATGACTGAGCAAGGCTAGCTATCGACATCTTCATAATTGTACGGTTTGTAGCCTTGTAAAGAGGGGCCCAACTGTGAGTTGAACTCAACATTCACTCATTTATTCACTAAGCTAGAAAAGCAACAACCCCAATATGCATCACTCACAATTTAAAGCCACAAGCTCAGACTTTGCACAAAAGTTTTCAAATCTGTTCGATGTAATAATCAACAACTTATACAGGGAAGATGGGCATGATAACCTTATAGACGAAGTATGGTTAACGAGCACTCGGAGCAATATCAACGTCAAGTGAGCTCGTCTCAAAAGACTCACTTCTCTTACTGTTTCCCATTCTTTGGCTTCTTCCTGAACCGATCCCTGCTGTCAAGCATTCTTTTAGTTCCAACAGAACACGGTTTATGTCTGGCCTTTGGACCGCTGTCGTCGGCACACACGACATGGCTATTTCCACTGCATTCCATGCAGAACCGATGTTGAATTGGCCATTTAACCTCGGGTCGACAATGCTTTGGATGTCCCCTCTTTCTATGAGTGGAGTCACCCAGTGAACTATGTGCGTGCTGCCCTCCGGACTTCTTATAATGGCTGGGTGGCCAGTGATTAACTCGAATAAAATTACGCCGAAGCTATACACGTCGCTCTTCTTGCTCAAGTTTCCAGATGTCTGAAACCTGAGGATTCAAAAGGAATTGTAGCTTTGATTAGTACAATAATAGCCGAAACTGCCGTTCGAAAACGTACCTACATACGTGCATCCAACATAAACATGTACAAATAAAATGTATGGGCCTCTCGCGCTGGTCTAAATTAGTACAGTTATTCTGCTTCCCAAGTGGAATAGTCTTTGTATTCAGAGTTGTTGGTTTGAGTCGCTTACTCCGGATCGAGATAACCAGGCGTTCCCGATGGGCGAGTTGTAATGTGAGAATCATGCTCTGTTACAAATGCCTTCGATAATCCAAAATCAGCAATCTTCGCTTGCATGTCTTTGTTTAGTAAAATATTGGGCGTCTTTAAATCTCTATGGACGATGGGAGGTTTGCAGCCATTATGCAGGTACTCCAACCCTGCACCACCAACAAAAAAGAAAAAATTAATCAAATTTATTGTGTTGCTCAACATGTGGATATGTGAACAAAGATTTCATCAATCTACTTTGTGTAATTTGAGCGGCATCGATTGCGATTTGTAGTCTCTGGCTCCAACTCAAAACATTTGGGTTTTGTGTTGCTTGAAAGTAGAGGATTAAGGAGTATTCCAATCATGAAAGATGTAAAATCCTGTTCACCATCTTATTCACTCGCTGAGAAAGTTAATTTCATTTCCGTTGTGCTATTAATGACTATGTTACTTGACCGATTAATCCAAAAGCCTGAACTATCAAAGAACAGAGTTGAGATAAAATATAACTCCACATGTCGTGCTGTCATATAGTGAGAGTCTAAGTGATGCTTTATCTGGTTAGAATTTGGAGAAGGAAATATCAGACAAACCTGACAAATGTTGCTGAACATTTCCATTGAACATGAATTCATAAATCAGCGCCATGTTTTCAAATTCTTCGCAATATCCGATAAGTGAAACCAGATTTCTATGGTGAACGACCATCAGGAGTTGCGCCTGCACATCAAGGTATTAGAGCTTGCCATAAGTAGAACACCCAAAAAATCGAAAACATGACATATTGATTCTAGTTGCACTCATGTTTCGAACCTCTGTGTGAAACTCCTTGGAGCCTTGCTTTGACGAGTGAGATAACATTTTTACTGCGACTTCAGTGCCATCGTCAAGTCTACCAAAGTAAACTCTCCCAAATCCTCCCTCTCCGATTACTGTTCTAAAGTTATCAGTAATTCTTGTAACCTCAGTAGATGTGAAAGTTCGATTTTTTGACAACCTTGATGTCCCAGTAGATCCTCTGGTAGAGTTGGTAGGCATAGTAGTAGTAGTAACATCTGGAGAAATGAAAAGGAAATTATATAACCTTAACGGAGTTAAGCAGATCATGATCTTTAGTCTGACATCATTTGCCTTGACTGCAAACAGAACCTTCTTCAAGAAGTATGTAATGACTTATATGAAGAAGAGACCGTGTTGTGAAAAAAGAACCAGAAAGAGCAAAGCGAGTTACCTCAACCAATTGATTAAGTATTCATGCCTTTATCTACACGAGATGGGGGTACGCGTTGATGCGATTATGATATTATCAAGATATAACGTGTGCATAGTTTTTTAACATGAAACAATGATGCATAGAAGCAAGATTATCATGTTCACTTTTTCCGGCCCAATTGTCGAAAGGGCCATGAGCAATTGGACCAGTTAACCAGTTCGGGGTTCAAAACCTGACCCAGATTGAGAAAATCACATGTAAAACTTTTGATTGTTCTCGCACATGCAATACGCAAGAGAGTTACTTTGGATTTGTCTTCTTTTGATTATCCACAGTACTGCAAGAACTCCAAAGAAAATCAAGACCAGAACGGCTGCAATTGATGCAATGATTGGCGCAATAGAGATGCCCTTTTTCTTTGGCTGCACATTGCTGGTCTGACAATTGTCTGATTGGCAAAGATTTGGATTTCCATCTATGCTGTCAAAAAACGTCGATAGTACATGTCAATGCCAAAAGATTAGCACGTGAATTCTTGGATATCCCACCCTGTGTATGTATTACATACATAATTTGATCAAAGAGAAAACTACAAAAGCATCACTTTTATCTTGTTCATTCTTCAGTGAGATCAGCAGCATACAGAAAGAGGAAGCATATTGTATAGATTAATAATAAGCGATTATATGTAGCATTACAATAGTGTGGCAGTGAGCAAACCTTAGTAGCAACGATCCATCTGCCTTCTTCTTCAAGAGAGTTTGAGGAACATAACCATTCAGGTTGTTTCTAGCTAAATTCCTGCAAGTTTTCATATTAAGAATTTCAAAGCCATTCATTCGGCTATGTAACCACACACAATCTTTCTATGTAAAGCTCAGTAACTCACAGAACTTTCAAGTTCGGCATTTGCGCTAAAACGTCGGGAATGGACCCAGTTAGTGAATTGTCAGACAAATCCCTGTAATTAAGCCACAAAAGTACAAAGAAACTTCATATGCATATATTTATTGAAATGCGTAACACAGAGTATGGTAGATAATGAACATCATGCTAATGATAAAGAAGTCTGTCGCTTTTTTGGGCTTAGTGTTGTTCATTCTCTTTCTGTGCAAGTTAAGTAAACAATATGAAAAAAAAACTGCTAATGCATACAGGGATACAACTGATTTCAAATTGGAGATCGATGTAGCTAGCAGTCCTTTCAGTCCACTAGAGCTCAGGTTCCTGCACATCCGCAGCAAACTTTATAAGAGTAAAATCCCACCGGTCAAAACTTTTAACATGGAAGGCTTTAATATAGAGACTTGATTTTTGAGACTTGTGGTGTTCGTATGCAGGATGTTTTCCGAGAAAATATGTAGTCGTGGACTTACAACGAGACGATTCTCGGAGAACTATCATAGCTACAATGTAGTCCGCTCCATGAGTGCTGTATAGGAACGCATGGATCACCCTGCCAGCTAGCTCTGATCACCCCATATGTTTTCTTGACGTCATACATAGCATTGACTAAGCCACCACATAAAGAGCTACAATCATAAGGAAATCAAAGAGTATCGAAAAAAAAAATTAAGTGGGAGCATAGATGTATACATACAGTCATCAAGAACAGTCGGTGAATTTTTAAGCTGTGCCTCAATGAAAAGCTCGACGGCATTGAGGAGAGGTGGCAGAGTGGAGCGGGCCGTCGCTCCTATAGTCATGTCCAAAGATAGTCCGGCTATGGGAGATGAGGCTACGGTTACCGGCTTTAGGTTCTCGAGCTTGACGGTTTCCGTGAATTCTTGTACATTTACCGTGAATTCTCTGATATCATTATCTTGCAGTTGCAATTCCACAAAGTGAAAGTATATATACCAGACAGTAGTAGAGTTGTTGGAGGTCCAGGACAGACTCAAAGGATCAGCGACATTTTGTACTTGTGTGGCGGTCATCAAAACTTCAGGCGGAACTTTATAGGCATCATTACTTGTACTTGTCACGATGGCCGTCGTGTTGCTGACTGACAACAATTTACTATAAGTCTGACCGGCCCAGATGCGATCATATACATCTTCTGGATGCCTATTAGTGCCGACACCAATCAAATAATCATAATAGTAAGTGCAAAATGATGAACAAGCCGACACAAATTAGTTTGTGAATAACAGAGTGTTTTCTATTATTTGTTCAGTTGCATCATGCCAAAATGCATGTTTAGTAAAATGCAAACAACGTAACACGTCATTTATTGACCGATGAATGTGGTCAAACGTTCAAAAATGACCTGCAATAACAAAGAAAATCACCTGTATGTGTTAATGCTCCCTAAATTATATCTCCCGTTGGATACAAGTGCACCAGAATTGATCTGGTAAGTCGAGTTATCCAGCAACCGCAACTCGAGAGCTGATATGAATGGAATTCCCAAGCCGGTATTCACCAAGCAAACTTGAATATAATCTCTTGGAGGAGTGTAGATAATCTCTTTGTATATCCAAGAAGAAGAGTTCACCGTGGTCCAGTAGTTAACATCAATATGGAGGTCAAATGCCGGGGTTTGATTCTTGCCATCATAATTCCCATACCAAAAATCAGCCCTGACCAAGTATGTGTTGCCCTTTCCTTTATCTGGCGTTAATGTGTAACAATTCCTTGTTCCATTGGGGAAGGCCCTGAGATTCTTTGACTGATGTTCGTAGAGTATGTCGATGACCTGGGTAGACACCTGCATGTCTGTTCCGGAATCTACAAACCCCGCATCAGGCTCATAGTATATGCCGTTCTTATCGTCTGGGTAACTGTTAGGTGCCCCGCAATCAATGCTAATGAAACCTAAATCGAGGTGAAATAAGATATCGTCACTTGCTTTTCACTATGCATCATGAATTCGAAATATAAACAGTGTTCTAAATTCCACTATATCAACAAGATAGAAATCTCAGCAATGAAAATTACATGTGTAAGAATTGGCTTGATAATTGGAATGGCCAAAAAGTAATTGATCGACCACGATGTTTTCATGATTGACAAAGAATTTCTTGCTTTGAAATTTCGTTGCTACCTCTATGTCAATTGCAACGACCCCCAATCAAACCATTCTCTCTTTGTTCCACCAACCCCTTTCATTCTCCTATTAGAGGGGGATTTATGCAAGAAGGCCATTAATTTCTTCACTTTAATAGTGGAATACATACTATCAAGTTATGGCAGTACGACCGGTTCAGGATCGACATTTTTATGGTAGTCACAAAGCATCTCATACAAGAAAGTTTAGACCCAAAACTTATAGGGCGATCGGAATATTTTGCTTAAAAGTGTTTTTATATAGATTGACAAGCAAGATATTAGGGGAAGGAGAAAGACACTAAAGCTCTATTTATTTTACGGAAAATAAATTCTTTGAAAAATATTTTTTCTAAAAAATGATCGTTTGTATTGCCCAACTGTGAGCAAGGGCTGCGACCCTTGCCAGCTGTTGGCAAGGGCTTTGTAGCCCTTGCCTGCGGCCGGCGAGGGTCGCAAGGCCTCGACCAATGGCTAATGGCCCCCTGCCGGCCTTGAACAATAAAAATAGAAAAAAAGTAAAGAAGGAAAAAAAAGAAAATAAGAGAAAAGGAAAAAATTTAAAAAATTCGAAACAATATTATTAAAAATTATCCATGTTAGCGTCGACCGTGTTACGTAGGACGGCTGGTGTCCACATCAGCGATTTCTGGCCAAAATTAGCTAGATAGACTCAAATGGCAAAACTTGAAAATGTTTAGGACTCGATTGACACAATTAAAAGGTTTATGATTGAATTGGCAAAAGTACAATAGATTTAAGACTTTTTGAACAATTTTCCCTAATGCAGTTGATGGACGATATACATGCCCAACGACCCCCTCGTCATCAACCATGGGAAGCTTTACATAATACCTCTTCGCTTGGTCTGCTTCAAGAATTACGTTGAATTAGAACATCGATCACTCAATTCTTGATTTTTCTATGCAAACAAAAGGACAGAAACCAACATAAACCGCAATTTCTTGGGCTTGTTAGCGTTTATAGAGAGTCCTACAAGATCATCCTCACTTGGAGGAAGACTTTTCACCCAAATCACACTTGCCCTTATCTCCCCTCTCTTTATCTTCCTCACCCACTCCAAAGTCACGTAACTCCTCTTCTTTAATGACCTCAACTCTGCTTCTACCAGGGCTCTCGCTCACAATTCTGCAGGTAATGACCTGCAATTTTAATAGTAATTTCAAGGGATTAGAGTTTGGGATTGCTTTTTGGACCTAGTTTAACCCCAACTTTTCAATTTGGGGCAAGAACAAGGCCAACGAGTTGTTTTTTGCTGATTGGATTTCTTTAGCGAGCCACATTAGCCGATTTATACAAAATTAATGCCATGTCGGATTTTCCGGCAAAAAAAATCACCGATGACACTTAACTAATCATTTTGTTTTTTTTTTATCATAATGACACTCAAGTAATCGCTCGAAAAATTTTAAAAATGAAATGTGTGTCATACGAAAATTGACACTTCTTGTATCCTTTCCCCAATTAAGGTATAACACGGAGCAATGAAGGAATACGTCACCACACAATGAAACACGAAATTATCTATCGTCTTAAGCGTGCTGGGATACTGTTATTTAACATGTACAAGGAAATCACAAGTCGAATTAGATCATCGTGAATGGGTGTTCATCGTGATTATGTAGCATGGCGGGGGCGGTACACTTGTCAGCAGATGGACAGTTACAACTTCAGCTAAAGATTCAAACATGAGACTTATGTCTTCAACCACAAAGTTTAGGAGGACACAGAAGTTCTAATAAATGAAAGCTTACGGAAGGTCCGGTCACCCCCACATACTGTTCCAAAAAAGGGTAAAAGAAAGTTAGGCTTATTTGTACCTCTTGGCATATACCGTGTCTTGCGGCACGTAAACCAAGCTTCCAAAAGAAATAACCTGCGTAAACGCGTAAAGCGGTGATCATCTGGGGCAAATATAACCTAAAACATCATAGGACCTCACCCATCTAATATGAGACTTGAGGTGTCACAGGGTAAGTGTTCAATTTCCACATATACCTTGCAAGGGGAACAGTATCACGGTCAAATCCCAGAGCGGTCATTTCAATGAAGCCGCTTAATTCCATCTCACCATTTTCCACTCTTTGGCTTGCCATGTTTATGGCCAAATACTCCTGTTCAGCTAATATGTCACTTATGTCTGGCCTCTTAATTGCAGATGGTGAAGCCCATGACTAATGTGTCGAAGACTTGCAGCTAGGTCTTCGTCAGCATGTGTCCAAGTCTAAGGACCACAATCGATGTTAATACACATCTTTTTTTATTGATGATCGGTAAATCTGAAACAATATATCATGTTATGCGCTAATTTATTCTTTGCCATGTCATTATTACCATGAAATCATCTTTTTCTTTTTCCAGCTGGAGGCATCCGCCATGGAAAACCAGTAAGGTAAATTATAATAAGGAAGAATAATTAATTGGAGGATGAGTTTTAACTCACGTTTTTAGCATTTGGCATGGCCAGAAATAATTGATTAACAACAGTGCTTTCAGGTAGACAAGAATTTCTAGCTACGAAATTTCTTTGCTATCTCTATATCATCTGCAACGACCACTGAACATATCATCAATATCAACGAACCTTACCATGGTTCTAGCTGACCGCCTTCGCTTGCCATGCGTCATTATCAAAGGTTAATTTTGTTATCTGCACTAGTCAATATCATTCACAGGAAAAAAAGAAAAACTTTGCAATCTATTTTGTTATGCGTGGGTTACCCAAGAAACGATAAGGCATTCGTTGCTTTCAATGAAAATGATATTTCAGAAGAAGTCTATTAGAAACATTAAAATCAGTGAATAAGACTGCATATTCAAATATAGTTAATGCGTTGTGGAACTAGCTATGCTTTTGGAAGGTCTAGTCACCCCCCGTGCTATTCAAAAAGGAAAAAAAAAAGGCTAGGCTTATTTGTCCCTCTCAGAATATACCATGTCTTAACAACCAGTTCAATGTGGATAGAGCCTCTAGTTCAATGTGAACATACAAAGTGACGACCATTTTGATTGGATCTTATTCATGAATAACATCACAAGACATCACTTTTTTCGACGTGGGAATTGAAATGTTACGGGATAAGTCTTGAATTTCCCCATTTACCTCGCAAGGGGAACAGTGTCACAGTCAAGCCCCATAATGGCCATTTCGAAGAAGCTGCTTGATTCCATTCTCACCATTTTCAAAGAAGCAGTACGTTAGTATCGCGAGCTCTCCATACAACCAACCGACGCCATCTTAGTGGCTATGGTCCAGTATATTTCATTGCTACCAAGTATTTTGTTTCCTCGTTTGCCTTCTGTGCACTTCATATTCATATAGGAAAAACAGTTTCCACCAATGACTAGTAATTAAGATCTTGATATATCTGGAGAACATGATCAAAAGTTTCATGAATTTGGATCCAACTCAACACAAGTCCTAACGTGATTATATCGATTTTGGAAGGCATATACTGGATTGACTCGTATTCAGACGATAATTATTGGAAATTAGTTTCTTCTTCTATAGGGAATTCTAAGAGGATACACGACCCCATCTTTAGTTCAGAGTTGACTGAGTCATGGCTACAGTACAAGAAGACCAAGACTTGCAGCTGGGTCTTCGTCCGCATATGTGTCCAAGTCTAAGGACCACGATCAATGTCAATAGACAGCTTTTGATTGATGGCAGATGGACCATTGGTAAATTCGAAAACGATATATCATGTCACGCGCTAATTTCTTTACACGTATCATTATTACAAAACGTCGTCAAATTATCTTCTTCTTCTTTCGGCTAGAGGCATCCGCCATGAAATTAATCTAGTAAATTATGACAAGAAGGAGTTTGGGCTCATATTTTCAGCATTTGGCAGGGCCAGAAACAATTGATCGAAGATGATATTTACACAGTTGGCAAGAATTTCTAGCTTCGAAATTTCGTTGCTACCAATGACCACCACATAAACTATCGGCATCAAAGAACATTACCATGGTTCAGACCTATCACCTTCACTTGCCATGCCTCTATCACCTTACCCATATCATTGTTTCTTGTTCACACTAATGGAAAAAAGGCCCAAAAATGCTCATTCAACATATAGGTAAGACATAGTTATGCAATAAAAGTGATTTCGAGTTAAAGAGGGATAATTGATCCTATGGGACAATAGGCTACCATCGAATGGTCAAGGCTTCAAATGCGAAATTAAGAGGGCAATGGGGTGTGGACTAATTATTCAAAAATTCATAAACCTTTTATACAGCGGCTAATCCAATCCTAAACCTTTTAATTTTGCCAATTCAGTCTGAAACCTTTTAACAACTTCCAAATTCAATCCTCAACCTTTCAATTGTACCAATTTAGTCCTAAACCTTTTAATAAATTGCCAATGTAGTCCTTCCGACTAATTTTGGTCGGAAATCACTAACGTGGCAATCCAGTTAGAGCTAGCCATCCTACGTGATGCAGCCAGCGGTACATGGATAATTTTTATTTTTTTTATAAATATTTCCAAATTTTTTATTATTATATTGATTTTTTATTATTTTATTTTATTTTATTTTATTTCTTTTCTTCTTCATTGAGCCGGCCACCAGCAAAAGGTAGAAGAAAAGAAAAAGGAAAAGAAAGAAAAAATCAAAAGAAAAAGAAAAAAATATTAAAATTGTCCACATTAGTGCCGGCCACATAGATCGACCGGTATTTATGTCAGCAATATCAAACCAAAATTAGCTGAAAAGACTAAATTGACACTAGATCAAAAGATTTAAGACTAAATTAGTACCATTAAAAGATTTATGATTAAATTGATTAGGTTTAAGATTTTTTTGACACTTATCATCGTTGGGGTCAATCCCTAATTCTTATGCAATTGGTCGCAAAAATTTAGGTGTCAACAAGTTGCAATTACCCATTAGCGTCCACTCAAACTGAAGTCTCGGCTGAACTCCAAGAACATGCCGTGAGGGTGGGCCTGCTCATGCCGATTACCCCATCCGTGGATAGCCCCAACTTCCCAACCACCTCCCCCAAAACTCAACATGGGGTTCCTAGTTTCGCGGTACTAGGAATGCCATGAACTGACATAATAAATTGAGAAGGAACCTCAAAGGACGAAAGGATATCATTGCTAGACAGCGAGTTTGCAAGTTTCAATGACAGAAAGAAAAGGGCAATGGGTGATGCAATTAAAGAACAAAAATTAATCTCTAAACCTAAAAAGAAGCGAGCCTTCCTGGTATGGAAAAGTTCTGCTACCTAGCGAGAGGGACCTCGTTAGATGGGAGCTCCAAGGAGGTCATTTCAAAGGAACCACTCGATTTGCTCAATCCTTACGTTGATTGAGTCATGGCTACGTTACCAGAAGGCCAAGACTTGGTGCTAGGTCTTCGTCTGCAAATGTATCAACGTGTAAGAACCAAAAGAAAGACCAAGACTTGCTGCTAGGTCTCCGTTCGCAGATGTATCAAAGTCTATGAACCAAAAGAAACGTCAATAGACAGCTCTCGATTGATGACATATCGACCATTGGTAAATTCTAAATAATATATCATGCTATGGGCTAATGATTTTGCATGTATCATTAGTACAAGATCTCGTGATGTACATCAAGACTGTTTGGCTTGTCCCCTGCAAAGTGCCGGAGTCCTGGTCATGAATGCCGGGGACCCGAAAACCAGCGTTAGAGTTTCCGTGCCAAAGCATAGAGTTTCGGGTTCAAGCGCTGATACTTAGTCATATTTTGAAAAATATTTTCCGGTTGTTCAAAGAGGAAATCATTTTTTCGAATTTAAATATAAGCTTTCCGTTGACTTATTTTCCTATGCTGGCCAAACGCCACAAAATGAAGAAAATATTTTCCTCTCGTGAAACAAAAGAAGCCTTATATAGGAAAGCTTAGACCCAAACGTTAGAGGGCAATCGGAATATCTTGCTTAAAAGGTGTTTTAATAAAGATCAACAAGCAAGACATTAAGGTAAGGAGAAGAAAACTGAAGCATGAATGATTTGAAAAAAAAAGTTTCTAAAAAATGATTGCTTGTATTGCCTACAAAAATGAATGAATGTAAAAATATTTTCATCGTCCACAAAAATATTTCAATATAAATTGTTGTTGATAATGAATTTTTTTCATTATTTAATTATTTCAAGTGATACAAGTGATTAATTTTAAGAAATTGTTTTGAAAATAATTCATTTTCCGTGAATAAACGGAGTCTAAAAGTGCTATAATTTTCGTATGGCATTTCCTTTAGTGTCAAAACTTTTCGAGTGATCACTTGTGTAGTACATCGGTGAAAAAACAATCACTTGAGTGACTCCAGTGACAAATTTCAGCGATTTGTCCTACGTTGTGTTTTTTAATGAAATTTTAATTCCGTATGGCTTTCTTAACAAAAATTAATTAGGGAGGCGGCGTTAGACCACGAGGAGAGCTATGACATGCTGGACCTGAATTGGAAGGTGGGCAGCGATGAAGGCGTGGATCGATTCGAACAAATGTTTCATGCTTGAGATCTTGAGGACCATGACGCAGTCGATGGACAATATACACATCCAACGACCCCGTTGTAAGCAACCACGGAAAGCTTTACATAATACCTCTCCGCTTGGTCCATTTCAAGAATCGGATTGAACTAGAGCACCAATTACTCATTCTTAATGGCCAACATTTCTTGACGTCATGGATGGGGACAACAACATTGTACGAAGCTTAAACCACGAGACAGGAAATCTCACGCTGTGTTTGGGAGAAAGGGCAGAAGAAAATCGGGGTCGAGTATGTCGACAAGTTAAATTATCTATAATATGGAAATATTATAGTTCTCAATTTTTCCCTCAAATTTTCTCGCCCCTCCATTTTCTCTCCTTTTTTTACAAGCACAGCATGCTAACATAGCAGACCATTTACAGATTTAGTGACTACTCATGCCAAAAGTCCTTAATGTATGCGCGCTTTTCTGAACTTACTTACTATTTTTTCGGACATGATCCTGGATTTGATATATGATATTTTGAGTAAGTCGATATTTTTCCAGCATTCAATCTTGTAATGTTCTTATCACACGTAAAACACAGTTACTCAGAAACTTTGCTCGACACAGACCCGAGAGAGAGAGAGAGAGAGAGAGAGAGAGAGAGAGAGAGAGAGAGAGAGAGAGAGAGAGAGAGAGAGAGAGAGAGAGAGATACCTGTATTTTGTTGGGCTTGAACCAAAAGGACAAATCCTAAAGCTAAAGGAGCAAGCAAAGAAAACGAGAACATGCCGTGAGGGTCAAAAGGTTTAAGACTAAATTGGCACCATTAAAAGGTTTATGACTAAATTAGCACAAATGCACTAGGTTTAGGACTTTTTTTACAATTATCTCGAGTCGGGGTCAATTCCTAATTTTCTTATGCAATGGGTTGCAAAAATTTAGGTATTGACAAGTTGCTAATTACCTAATGGTGTCGACTCAAACTGAAGTCTCAGCTGAACTCCAAGAACATGCCGTGAGGGTGGACCTGCTCATGCCGATCACCCCATCCATGGATAGTCCCAACCTCCCAACCACCTCCCCCAAAACTCAAGAAAAAACTATCCCTTTAGTGTCTCCAGCGAAAAATTCCAGCAAAAAATATTACGTGACTTTTATAATTAAAACTTTTATTTGAGATGTCATTTTACAAAAAAAAACCAGTCCATATGGACATCCATGTGGTTGGGTTGTCTAAAAATGATATCGCACCATTCCTAGGTGAAAAATACCATCGTCACCATTTGTCGCTCGCGACCGATCGACACCACCATCCGCCGTTCGCTACCTGCCATCCATCATCCCCCTCCATAGAGAAAAAACTCCCAACCACCACCACAAACTTGCTAGAACTGATCAGGGGCATTTTTTTTCATGGCAACATGATGGGGAAGATGAATCACCCACATTTGACGTATACATCGATGTTACGTATTGGGTCACTATCTACTACCCTAAGTTTTGGTACGAGGAGATCATGTATGCCTCCCAAGCAGATTATATACAGGTCTGCGTTGTCAATACGGGAAGTGGAGTACCTTTTCATTTCAGCTACGATCTTGCCATTGTCATCGAGAAGTGGAGATTGTCGAAGAGAGAAGTGTGAGGAAGATAATATGCATGCACGACTTATATTTATATCGTGAGCTCTCCGTACGACCAACCGACATCATCTTAATGGCTATGGACCAGGACTTTTCATTCCTACGAAGTATTTTGTATCCTCATTTTCCTTTTGTGCACTTCATACTGTCGCTGGATTGACCCGGGTTCAGGCAATATTTATCAGAAAATTATTTTCTGCTTCTATTGAAAATTCCAAGAGGATAGGAAGTAACACACGACCTCATGTGCTACTCGTTCGCCCGCGCAGTACTCTCATCTTGAAGCTTCTTCAGTTTATAGTTTACTGAGTCATGGCTCAAATGCCAGAAGACCAAGACTTGCAGCTAGGTCTTCGTCTGCAAATGTATCAAAGTCTAAGAACCAATAGAAACATCAATAGACAGCTTTTGATTGATCACATATTGTCAATTGTAAATTCGAAAAAAAAACACATCACGTTGTGCGCTAATTTTTTTTTTACACGCATCATTATCACGATACACCGTGAAATTGACTATTTTTTGTCCGGCTAGAGGCATCCGCCATGAAAAACCGTACGGTAAATGATGAGAAGGAAGAGTAATTAACAGGAGGATGAGTTTTGTTTGGCTCACATTTTCATGGTTGGCAAGAATTTACGGGAAAAGTGTCAAAAGGTCTTAAAATTATTGCATTTGTGCCAATTTAGTCCTAAATCTTTTTTTGGTATAAATTTAGTCATAAATTTTTTTATATAGTGCCAATTCGATGTCTGGTATATCGAGTGAGTCGATATTTTGTTAGCATTCAATCTTATAATGTTCTTATCACAAGCAAAGCACGTTACTCAGAAACTTTGCTTGATACGGACGCGAGAGAGAGAGAGAGAGATGCCTGTATTTTGTTGGGCTTTGAACCACAAGGACAAATCCTAAGGCTAAAGGAGCAAGCAAAGAAAACGAGAAGGCTGTAGTTGATCTTAGTGGCTTTGGCCCAGTATATTTCATTGCTACTAAGTATTTTGTTTCCTCGTTTTCCTTTTGTGCACTTTATATTCATATAGAAAAACAGTTTCCACCAATGACGGTAATTAGGATTTTGATATATCTGGAGAACATGACCATAAGTTCCATGAATTTGAATCCAACTCCACATAAATCCTAACGTGATTTGGAAGGCATATACAGGATTGACTCGTATTCAGACGACAATTATTGGATATTAGTTTCTTCTTCTATGGGAAATACTAAGAGGTTACACGACCCCATCTTCGGTTCAGAGTTGACTGAGTCATCGCTACAATACAAGAAGACTAAGACTTGCAGCTAGGTCTTCGTCCGCTTATGTGTCGAAGTCAAGTGCCGCAATCTAACCACTGGGGGTTTACCCAGTGGCCACCCTTCTCACTTGAGAAGGGGGAGGTGGGGAGTTCGAATCCCCACCTTCGCAGGAGGGGTAGGGGTAGGGCCGCATAGTTTAAGATGTGGGTTTCGATGCCCACGCCCTGCAAGAGGTGGAGCGCAAGTCTGAGTGTGTATCGTGAGTGAGAGATAGAGTAGGACCGACCAAAAAAAAAAGTACCGCAATCTTTGACAAAAAAAAATACCGCAATCTTTCACCAAAAAAAAAAAAGTACCGCAATCATGGGACAAAAGAATTTAGGAAAAATGGGACAAAAAACCAGTACCGCAATCAATGTCGATAGACTGCTTTTGATTGATGAGAGGTGGACCATTGATAAATTTGAAAACTATACATCCTGTCACGCGCTGATTTATTTATTACTATACGTCGTGAAATTAACTTCTTCTATTCTGCTAGAGGCACCGCCATGAAAATCAATTCGGTAAATTATGATAAGGATGAGTTTTGACTCATATTTTCAGTATTTGACATGGCCAGAAACAATTGATCCAAGATGATATTTACATGGTTGGCAAGAATTTCTAGCTTCCAAATTTCGTTGCTACCAATGACCATCACACAAATTATCGATATCAAAGAACATTATCATGGTTCGGACCGATGACCTTCGCTTGCCATGCGTCTATCACCTTATACATATCATTGTTTCTTGTTCACACTAATTGAAAAAGGCCTGGAAATGCTCATTCAGCATAGAGGTAAGACATAGTTATGCAATAAAAGTGATTTCGAGTTAAAGAGGGATAAATCGATCCTATGGGACAATAGGCTACCATCGAAAGGTCGGGGCTTCAAATGCGAAATTAAGAGGACAATGGGGGTGAGGGAAAATTGTCCAAAAAATCATAAACATATTGTACAACGGCCAATCAAATCCTAAACCTTTCAATTTTGTCAATTCAATTCTAAATCTTTTGACAATTAGCAAATTTAGTTATAAACTTTTTAATTGTGCCGACTTAGTCCTAAATCTTTTAATGATTTGATAATTTAGTTATAAACCTTTTAACAAATTGCCAATGTATTCATTCCGACTAATTTTGATTGGACATCGCTCAATTGGCGGTCCAATCGGCGTCGGCCATCCTACGTGGTGCGGCCGGCGGTAACGTGAATAATTTTTTTTTACTTTTTATAAATATTTCCAAAAAAATTATTATTTTATTGATTTTTTATTCTTTTTTTCTTTTCTTCTTCATTGAGCTTGCCATTGGCAAAAGGTAGAAGAAAATAAAAAGGAAAAGAAAGAAAAAACAAGAAAATAATATTACATTATTATTAAAAGTTGTCTACGGTAACGCCGGTAGTACAACGTAGATCGGTCGACATCCTCGTTAGCAATAAAGACTAAATTGGCATTAGGTCAAAAGGTTTAAGACTAAATTGGCACTATTAAAAAGTTTATGACTAAATTAGCACAAATGAAATAGGTTTAGGACTTTTTTTACGCTTGTCCCGAGTCGGGATTAATCCCTAATTTTTTATGCAATGGGGTTCCTACTTTCGCGGTATTAGGAATGCCATGAACTGACATAATAAATGGAGAAAGGAACCTCAAAGGACGAAAGGATATCATTGCTAGACAGCGAGTTTGGAAGATTCAATGACAGAAAGAAAAGGGAAATGGGTGATGCAATTAAAGAACAAAAATTAATCTCTAACCTAAAAAGAAGCGAGCCTTCCTGGTATGGAAAAGTTCTGCTACCTTGCGAGAGGGACCTCGTGAGATGGGAGGTCCAAGGAGGTCATTTCAAAGGGACCACTTGATTTGCTCACCAAAGACTCCAACTCTGCCAATACTTGATGTATATCCGGCCTTTGAATTGCCGTTGGTTGTGTACAAGACATGGCAATCTCCACTAGTTTCCAAGCCGAGTTGAAGTCGAATTCTCCTTGTAGCCTTGGATCCATAATGCTCCGTGTATCACCGCTTTCAACGATCGGAATCAACCATTCAAGTATGTGCAAGCTGGCATTGCCATCCTGACTTCTCATTATTGCGGGTCGGCCCATGATCAACTTAGATAGTACGACTCCAAAACTATAAACATCGCTCTTCTTGTTAAAGTTCCCAGAAGAATGAATCCTGGGAGGAAAAAAAATACGGATCTTCATATCAAAGATGAAATCCCAAGCTATGTCAATATGTATATGCATATTGAGATCCTGAAATGAACCAGAACAGTAATATGAAGTTTTAGCCATTACTCAGGGTCGAGGTAGCCAGGAGTGCCCGCAGGAAAAGTTGACACATGAGAGTCCTTTTCAGTCGCAAAAGCTCTAGACAGGCCATAATTAGCTACTCTGGCTTGGAGTTCTTCGTTCAACAAGATGTTAGTAGTCTTCATGTCTCTGTGGATGATGGATGGCTTGCGACCATTATGCAAATAATCCAAACCTGAAATCCTCGGAAAAAACGTGTAAAAACAATGCCAAAGCAATGATGGGAAAAAACCTACAACTGAGGATATCTCATTCGCGTACCTTGTGCTGCATCCAGAGATATTTGTAGTCTGTTACTTCATGTCAAAACCTCCAGATGGTCCCCTGTTGGATGCATCTTAACTTTACCTATGAGCAAGAAACAGAGTTCTACAGGATTATTTTATAGAAGAAAACAATAGAAAAGAAGATAAATACGCACCTGATAAATGTTGCCATAATTTCCATTAGCCATGTATTCATATATTAATGCCATGTGCTTGGACTTGTTGCAATATCCAAACAGAGAAACCAAGTTTCTGTGATGAAGAATCATTGAGAGCTGCGCCTGCAGCATAAAGAGTGTGTGTTACTATAACGAATACAGAGAAGAGTCAAAGAGGAAGTTTATGAACGAACATCTGTGTAATTGTCAGCATAAGTTGATTTTAATAGGAAACATGATTGCATCATCGTATCTAACCTCCGCTTGAAATTCCTTGTACCCTTGCCTTGATGATTCAGAGAGCATCTTCACAGCAACTGCGGTGCCATTATCTAGTGTGCCAAGATATACCTTTCCAAATCCACCTTCACCAATCACTCGTCCAAAGTTCCCAGTGATTCTTGAAATCTCTCCATACTTAAAAGGTCGATTCTTTAATCTCAGCATCCTTTCACTAGATTCTGTACCAAAAAGGTTCCTATGAATATTGCAACTACCACTTTGGATAATAGACTTTCGAGGCAAATAACTCCATTTGCGTTTCAACAATTAAAAGTCGTAGGGAAGGTTTTTCTGATCCCGTTTTGGTGGAGAAGAGGACAAAAATCAAAAGATCTGGGCAAGGATTCTGTCACCTGCTTTCAATATGCTAACAAATAGATAATTTTTCTTTGCTCAGTACATATGATAAGTTTGAGATTGCACAATCAAACTTTCTTTTAGTGACCATCAGACTATTAAGGACAAAGCTGTACTCTCAAGTTATTATAAGTCCTCGTGCATGGCACGATTACTTTTGAAGAAAAAAAATCAGAGACTTTATTGTCAATAAGTTAAGCTGAATATCGCACGTTCTCTTTGTGATACTGATGCGACCATGCTGTGGTGATCCCTGTCTCTCTCGTCTTCATTTTCTCGTGATCATTATGAACTCATATTACTAGCATTGCAAAACTTTGATTAAAACCAAAATGCTGTCTTTTTATCTTTACTTTTCTGTATCGCACCTTTAGTTTCCGTAGCTATAGCTATTTATGTTCCAAGTCAGTAACTTTGTAATATCACATCGATGAACTTTGGACGCTGCCAGTAATTGGACGGATTCGTCTAAGTCCTCTATAAATTTAAGTCAAATTTCGTCATTGTGTGAAATTTGTGTTATCAATCGGGACAATCAGATTCTTTGTTCACGCCTGGATCACCCCTGTCCAGAATTAGACTTAGAACCCGGTCTCCTCTCATTAAAAATCGAAGAACGACTTTTGGTGAATTATATTTCGTCGTAGGAACCATTTCCGGCAAAACATAATTTTTGCACGCCCGGTGAGACCTAATTGGTCAATTGGAGGAGTAACGATGGCACGAATGAGGAGTTAGAGCCAATTGGATCAGAATAACAATGTTGCAGGGAGCAGCGTACCCCCCAATCCTGCTATGGAGCGGGTGACACGTGCGGAATCATTGAATGGACGGACAGTGGCGGAACAAAGACAAGTAGGGGAGATAGATATTCCCAGACACCTTATTGAAGAACAGAGAAAGCAATTGGAACCAAATTCAATTACGCTTACTACTATGAGAAGAATCATGGAACAACAATACAACGATCTAGCTAATCTAGTCACTAGATGTGTGGCTGATATTGTTAGGCCATTGTTTATTAATACAGTCTAGGAGATTACTGGCAGGCAAAGCTCATCGATGAGTTCTACCCAGTCACAAACTGTTCCTATTGTTCCTCCCGGCGTAGTTGGAAGTCTTGGACAGCTCGTTGTTACGCTCCCTGGTGGTAGAACTGCAGGACAACTTATGCCTCTTGCGCCAATAAGGATTCTTCATAGAGGAGAAAACACGTTGGTAGGTCAAGCGTACGGCCAAGCGTACGGCCAAGCGGTGACAGTGAAGGTAATGTGGTTAATTTATCACAAACGAATGAGAATACCAACATGGGTCAGCCAGCAGCCAACGGGGTTCATTTGTCTGGGCCAGTTAATGCAAATTTGGTTCCTTAGCATGCTACTCTGTACCAGTCACATGACAATGTGTTGCCTGGTGGTGTTGCTACCCAACCTAGTCTCCCTCAAACTTTGTTTAGGCCAAATGCTAATACAGAGATCCCGAGAAGGATTTTAACACCACCACAGCCAGTACCGCAGTACCAAGTGCCACAATATCCACAGCCATTACCACAAAACCCGGTTCAGCAATATCCATAGCCATTACTACAAAACCCGGTTCCGCAATATCCACAGCCATTACCACAAAACCTGATTCCACAATATCCGCAGCCAGTACCACAGTATCCATTGCCGTAGCCAATACCACAACCGCCAGTACCCCAATACCAAATGCATCAACCTTTGCAACAGAACATACCTCAAATGATGCCTCAGGTTGTGCAGGCGGCTCAAGCAATCACACCACCAATTGTGATCCCAATAAGACAAAATCAATGCGTAGTCGATCCAGTACTACGGCAATATGGTGGTGAAGCGGGAGGTTTTAGGCAGGTATATAGAAAACCATACCCGGAATGGATGGATGCAATTCCATACCTAAGGGGGTTTAAAATACTAGAATTTAACCTGTTTACTGGTGAGGATGATCAATCGAAACAAGAACACATCAATCGATTCACTGCTTTGTGTGGAGATGCTACATATGGAGATCATTGGAAGCTACGGTTATTTCCATTATCATTGTCCAAAACTGCTTTTACCTGGTACACATCTCTACCACCTCATTCTGTATTTTTTTGGGATCAAATGGAAATGATGTTTCATAGTCAGTTTCAAAGAGCTGCGCCGGATATGTTTATGGCGGATTTGTTAGCAATGAAACAATACAATAATGAGTCAGTTGATCAGTTCATGTTTCGATTTAGAAAGGCAAGGAATAGGTATTTTGTACCTTTACCTAAAAAGACGTTCACTGAGTTTGCTTTTAATGGTTTAAAGTTTGCTATCAGAGAAAGAATGATAGGACAAGCTTATTATGATATATTTTCGTTGACTTCCATTGCTATGAAACACGAAAACTTTTTGAAAGAGAATGATCGAAAGCATGTTAAACATGCAGTGAACTTTGTCGATGAAACACTAGTCGACAAAAAGCACTGACTTGTCAAGAAGCTCATGCATGTAGCATACCTAAACTAAGTATGATGCGTCAAAGAGAAAAGTTCTGCAGCTATTATTGAATGAAATATACGAGATCATAACAAGAACTGTTTGTTGTAATGAACCATCGCAATCCCTAAGACACAAAATCAATCTAGAAATAGCTGCTGGATATTCTTTTAGATTACCCCAACTAATTGACCCATCGTATGCAAAGAAAACTTGAATTGCTAAGTTGGAATCAAACAACTTCAATGACAGTACAAGAATGCATGAGTGACTCTAGAAGACCTAAAATGAGATGCTACAGTTATGCCACAGCTTCAGCAAATCCACTATCAATACAACAAAAGAAATGTTGATAAAGGTACCAACTTCCAGATACAAAACGACATCCACAATGTGCTCCAAAACTCTGGGACCAGCTATTTCTCCAGATTTTGTCACATGTCCAATCTGAAATATACAATCAACAAGAGTGGACTCACATAAGCAAAATCTTCTAGAAAGATTGGTTGTCACAGCAACTCCAATATCACCAAGATGCTAAAGATGTATGGGCTGACATAAATGCTATAACATCATATAGGAATAGTCCAAATTTGTAGGCGATTTAGCACATCCAAAACAAATGATGAGAATAATAAATTTTGAATAACAATAGAACAGGAATGTTTGTCTTTTTTGCAAAACGAAGCAATGCTGATGTACATTCTTTCACCTGCCACACATCAATGTCAAGATCAATCATACATTTGTCCTCGGTGCATTTATAAAGATAGTCAAGATGAAGCAACCAATATCAGTACTCTTAAATATTGGGTAAAGTTGCTTGGTTAACCAATAGAATTGTTCAGAAAAGCTCACTTGAATATGTGGCGACGGCTACATGCTAGCAATACCGGTCAATCTCACAAGAGAAGTGAAAAAACTTTAGGCAAAAGAACTTTTGGCAACACGAGATCACTTTAACAAATTAGAGTGCCCTAAACTCAATCACTAATCTCCTGAATTCAGATCCATTTTTGCCTCTTGCAAGGGGAGAGATTGCAAAGATGTTACCTGTGAGAGACCTCCAGCACTTCCAGCCACTCCTTTTAGATAAACTGTCTGAATTGAATCGATAATCAAAGCTCGAGGTGAAAGAATTTGAATTTTTTCTAGTATGTCCTGCAGAACAAAACACATGTCAAGGCTCACATAGAGCAAATGCATAACCAGCACTTTTGAATTTGCAAAAGATCTGGACTCTCTATATCCAAACAGAGAAATTTTTTACTGTAGACAACCCATAAAACGGTTACTTTAACAAGCACATGCTTCAATTGTTTTCTAAGTAATTATCATCTCCATTGGACTTTGGGTCTATCAGGTTACTAATGGCAGCTCAAGGATCCAATCCGATTTACACATGAAAAATCAGGACAAAATTGTGAAAGTAATTCGAGAGGTACAAATAATTGGTTGATGCAAAATTCCTGACTTTGCACTCACCTCAATATCAGTGCTCGAGTACAAATACAGTTCTTCAGTTCCAATGCTTAGACGGTCAGCTCTGCTTCCAATTTGCTCCACACTCTACCACAAAATCAAAGAGAGTCCTCAGAAGGGGAAAAGGTAGATTGTAATTGTGATATGATAATGACACATACAGGTTGGCCAGAAAAAATAAAAGGAACGAATACAGCAGATGCCTATCAGAGGAAATCTATATCTTCATTATGTGGTGTAGCTTTCTATCAAGACTCCTCGAGTAAAATTATCTCATGGCTAAATGATATGCTACAAGCCAGAGAAAGCCTAAGGCAGAAAATGTGGAAGAGCCTATATTTACAAACAAGAAAAACCGTCCGAGAAGCGAAAACAAATTTGATCTGGCAACAAGAATGAATATGCATGACAGCAAAGACCAGCAGCAGGCTAGCATGAAAACTCCATTTACCTCTTCCCCAGAGCCATATACTACTGGAGCTGATCTGCCAAGATCCCGGCCTTCAGCAATCATTGCAGCCATCTTCCAATAGAAAAATATTAACATTACGAGATGGACAAGGTAGAGCACAATGGTTGTACAAGGAGATAGATATACAGAGAATTAAACATATTTTATGAATATTTAATGTATCCTTTAAGTACATTACCTGCAGCAACAGGGTACTCTTGCCAACACCAGGATCACCTCCCACCAAAATTAAGGAACCTTTAGAGCCACAATGCAGCAAAATCAATAGCTTTGATGAAATTAAATTCTTCAAAACTTCCATATATCTCAAGTGAGAGTTCCAGTACAGCAGCAGGTTCAAGCAGACCATACAGCAAAAAAGTAGGTCAAATCTGGCACGAGACCACCACCTAGCACTCTCGAAACCTCCTCTCCAAAGGATCCATACCTGAATATCAAGCACCCCAAGAGAACGTTTACACTATGGAATTTGAGCGACACACGTGTTTCTTCCAAAATTAATAATTAGAAGTGCTAATGTGTTGGAATAACCAGCATGAATGGTTTCATCGAGGTGGACAACAGATTGTCATCAGGATCAAAAGTCATATCATCATTCCCATATCACTAAAAAAAAGATATATACTATCATTCCAGCAAAATTTTATTAGAAAATTTCAAAACCACCACATAACGCTCTATGATCCAACTCCTGGAAAGATGTTTCGAGATAAATCATGTCAAATGTAGATAAGACAATAAAACGAACTAAACAACTTTTTTCTTCTATTTCTGTAGCAGCTGCAATATAGGGTCCAAAGATAACCAGTCATTAATTTTCAAGAACAGAACAGACTTACAGAGGAATCCGCCACTCTAACTGATTCACCCCCCTATTCACATCCGTCAACCGCAGCGGCCGCACCTCGCCAGCCCGCTGCGGCATCCACGACCTCACCACATTCTCCGACACCTCGAAACCCCTCACTTTCTCGCTCCCGCCGCCGTTTTCCTCCACCGCGAACTGCTTCATCGTCCCGGCGCTTCGGCACGACCTGCAAGAACCCCGCCACTGTCCATCCGCGTACCCGCAATCCGAACAAACCCAACAACCCCTCTTCTTACCGTTCTTCCCACTCCCAGCATAAGAACTCCTCCCGCCCCCAAAATGCCTCCTTTCTTCGGAAATCTCGCCATTCCCACTTCTCGCTCCGCTCTCAGGGCCCGACCCTGCTTCCCCGCCACTGCTCCTGACCCATCGGGCGGCGGTGTCGCTGGTCTCCGACTCGGAGCCCGAGGACAGGGCCGCGAGGCTGGGCTCTTGGGAGAGGAGGCGGTGATTCCTGGAGTGGACACCGCGGTGGAAACGGGGGTTCTGGAGGGGGTTGAAGAAGGAGGCGAGGGATGTGGGGTTCGAGGTGGGATGGAGGAGGCGCTTGTGGGTGCAGAGCGTTCTCAGAGCTCTCATGTCTGATGCTTGCATGACATGAAAAAGGGTGCGCGAGAATCTCGTAAAGGTGGAGTCTTTAGGGCTTATTAGCAGAGTTCAGAGCGAGAGGAGGACGACGAAGTCAGCACGAAACCCCGCGAAGTTCAAACGACAAGCGGAGCTTCGGACAGGTAAGAAGTAGAGAGATGATCAGGAAGTGAGGAAGCGTTATAAATTAATATACCTTAGATAAATTTATACTCCGTTAATTTTCATTAAATTTTATTATTAAATTATTAAATTGAATAACACGTGATAATTAACGAATCTACCAGTTTGAGATTTTACCCTTCACTTTAATTTGTAATTATTCGTGATATTAATCTAATTTAACAAAAATTAACGGACGGTAAATTTATTATAAATGTTCCAATTTCGGGATTTTAGTGGTCAAAATATTATTTTTGAGTAAATTTATCACAGATGTACTAATTTGAGGTTTTTTTATGATCAAAAAATTAATTTTTGATAAATTTATTATAGATGTATCTATTTATGATTTTTCGTGGTATTAACCCAAAGAAAAATTAAGGAGTTAGATTATTGAATTATGCCAAAGACTTGTCAATTGCTAATTGATTGAGTTGTGCCGTGTTATACTCTAATTTTCCCATTGCAGTTCCCATTTTGTTGTCTCGTCTATACTAATTATATGAAGTAGAGAAGATCTCAATATACACTTCATTTTTTATTTCTTAGCTTATCAATATATCTGATGAGTCAGCTAATGATTCAATTTTATTTCCACTGATTTTTCATTGGAAAATTTGAATCTTCTCAGCCACTTTCTTAAAAGAATTGCAATTCTTGCACTATATTTCTCTTTCATTCTACATTTAAACAATTGCTTTGTACACTTTTATGAATTCATCGTTTGATGATTTAAGTTTCTCGTATTAAGATGGTTTACTTTAATATTGAGAGAGTTCTTTCTCTTTTTTTCTTGGGAAACACGCAACACGTGCGCACATTTACTAAATTGCACGACATGTGGTAAAAGATTTGTTAGATTACTCGGCCGACAGACATAAGTAATTTTTGTTCTTTCAGTGCAAAAACAGCAGTTTCCTTTCTTCAAGAGCATCTCTCACTATATGAGTTCATAGGAGGATATGTTACATGCAAAACCTTGAAATTCTATCATATCATCAGAAGAAAATCCCGTCGTCCACATCGTCCACAATTACAGACCCAAAGGAAGGTTTTGGAGCACATTATAAGCACCGTCTCGCGGGACATTTTCCCAGACATGTTGCCACATCATAAGCAGCGAGCGTGAAGGGTGAAGCAGAACAGAATCCCATGGTTCGTTAGGCACCTCACCTAGAAAGAGTCGGACATTCCTTCGGCTCCGACAGCATGCGGGGTTCATGTTTGGCCTCTCGTTCGCAGTTGTGGCCACGCACGGCATTGCTGCCTCGACTAGTTTCCGAGCAGATGTGGGCGCTGAACCACCCTTGTAGCCTCTGATCCATGACGCTCTCTATATCCTCTTGCCCGATGAGAGGCGACACCGATTGGATGACGTGAGTGCTGCTCTTCGGGCTACTTAGGTGGTTGTGGTTGGCAAAGTTTGTCAAAAGATGACTTTGTTTTATAAAACAGATGGTATAAAAATGAAAGAAATTCATTTTTTCCTCTGCTTCATTATACAGGAGTTCACATGGATGACTGAGCAATGCTAGCTATCAACATCTTCATAACTGTACAGTTTGTAACCTTATAAAGAGGGGCCCATCTGTGAATTGAACTCAACATTCACTCATTTATTCACTAGGCTAGAAAAGCAACGACCCCAATATGCATCACTCACAATTTAAAGCCACAAGCTCAGACTTTGTACAAAAGTTTTCTAATCTGTTCCATGTAATAATCAACAACTTATACAGGGAAGATGGACATGATAACCTTATAGACGAAGTATGGTTAACGAGCACTTGGAGCAATAACACCATCAATTGAGGTCATCTCAAAAGACTCACTCCTCCTCTTACTATATCCTATTCTTTGGCTTCTTCCTGAACCGATCTCTGCCGTCAAGCATTCTTTTAGTTCCCACAGAACACGGTTTATGTCCGGCCTTTGGACCGATGTCATCGGCACACACAACATGGCTATTTCCACCGCTTTCCATGCAGAATTGATGTTGAATTGGCCATTTAACCTCGGGTCGACAATGCTTTGGATGTCCCCTCTTTCTATGAGTGGAGTCACCCAGTGAAGTATGTGCGTGCTGCTGCCCTCTGGACTTCTTATAATGGCAGGGTGGCCAGTGATTAACTCGAATAAAACTACGCCGAAGCTGTACACGTCGCTCTTCTTGCTCAAGTTTCCAGATGTATGAAACCTGAGGATTCAAAAGGAATTGTTGCTTTGATTAGTACAATAATAGCTGAAACTGCCTTTCAAAAACGTACCTACATACGTGTATCCAACATAAACATGTACAAATAAAATGTATGGGCCTCTCGCGCTGGTCCAAATCAGCACGGTTATTCTGCTTCCTAGGTGGAGTAGTCTTTGTATTCAGAGTTGTTGATTCGAGTTGCTTACTCCGGATCGAGATAACCAGGCGTTCCTGCTGGGCGAGTTGAAATATGAGAATCATGCTCTGTTACAAATGCCTTCGATAATCCAAAATCAGCAATCTTCGCTTGCATGTTTTCGTTTAGTAAAATATTGGGCGTCTTTAAATCTCTATGGACAATGGTAGGTTTGCAGCCATTATGCAGGTACTCCAACCCTGCACCACCCACAAAAAGAAAACTTAATGAAATGTATTGTGTTGCTCAACTTGTGGACATGCGAACAAAGATTTCATCAATCTACTTTATGTACCCTGAGCTGCATCGATTGCGATTTGTAGTCTCTGACTCCAACTCAAAACATTAGGGTTGTTTGCTGCTCGAAAGTAGAGAAATAAGGATTATTCCAATCATGGAAGATGTAAAAGCCTGTTCACTATTGTGTTCATTCGCTGAGAAGTTAATTTCATCTCCATGGTGCTATTAATGAATATGTAACTTAACCGATTAATGCAAAAGCCTGAACTATCAAAGAACAATGTTGAGATAAAATGTATCTCGACACATGTGCTGTCATATAGTGAGAGCCTAAGAGATGCTTTATCTGTTTAGAATTAGTAAAAGGAAATATCAGACAAACCTGACAAATGTTGCCGAACATTTCCATTGGACATGAATTCGTAAATTAGCGCCATGTTTTCAAATTCTTCGCAATATCCGATAAGTGAAACTAGATTTCTATGGTGAACGACCATCAGGAGTTGTGCCTGCACATTAAGGTATCGGAGCTTGCTATTAGTAGAACACCCAATAAACCGAAAACATGCCACATCGATTCTAGTTGCACTTATGTCTCAAACCTCTGCGTGAAACTCCTTGTAGCCTTGCTTTGATGATCGAGATAACATTTTTACAGCGACTTGAATGCCATCGTCAAGTCTGCCAAAGTAGACTTTCCCAAATCCTCCCTCTCCAATTACTGTTTCAAAGTTTTCAGTAATTCTGGTAAGCTCAGTGGATGTAAAAGGTCGATTTTTTGACAACCTTAATGTCCCAATAGATCCGCCGTTAGAGTTGGTAGTTGTAGTAATGGTAGTAACATCTGGAGAAATAAAAAGGAAATTATATAATCTCAACAGAGTTAAGTGGATCATGATCCTCAGTCTGATATCATATGACTTCGCTACAAACAGAACCTTCTTGAAGAAGTATGTAATGACTTATATAAAGAAGAGACCATGTCGTGAAAAATGAACCAGAAAGAGCAAAGCGAGTTACCTCAACTAAATGAGGAAGTATTCATGCCTTTATCTACACGAGATGTGGGTACGCGTTGATGCGATTAGGATATTATCAACATATAATGCGTGCGTAGTTTTTTTAACGTGAAACAATGATGCATAGAAGCAAGATTATCATGTTCACTTTTTCCGGGCCCGATTGTTGAAAGGGATATGAGCAATTGGACCAGTTAACTAGTTTGGGGTTCAAAACCCGATGCGGATTGAGAAAATGACATGTAAAGCTTTTCATTTTTCTTGCACATGCAATACGCAAGAGAGTTACTTTGGATTTGTCTTCTTTTGATTATCCACAATACTGCAAGAGCTCCCAATAAAATCAAGAACAGAACGGCTGCAACTGAAGCAATGATTGGAGCAATAGAGATGCCCTTGTTGGTCTGACAATTGTCTGATTGGCAAAGATTTGGGTTTCCATCTAAGCTGTCAAAAAACGTCGATAGTACATGTCAATGCCAAAAGATTAGCACATGAATTCATGGATATCCCACCCAGTGTATGTATTACATACATAAGTTGATCAAACAGAAAACTAACAAAGCAATTATCGCTTTCATCTTTTTCATTCTTCAGTGTGACCAGAAACGTACAGAAAAAAAAAAGCAGCAGATTGTATAGATGATAATATGCGAATAATGTAGTGTTACGATAGTGTGGCCATAAGCGAACATTAGTAGCAATGATCTATCTGCCTTCTTCTTCAAGAGAATTTGAGGAACAGAGCCATTCAGGTTGTTTCCACTTAAATTCCTGCAAGTTTTCACATTTAGAAGTTGATATCCCTGATATTATGCCAAAAAAGTACTAAAAATTTCTATTAAAAGTTTATATCACTCGGGCCAGATAACCGCAAATGATTTTTCTATTAAAAGCACAGTAACTCACAGAACTTTCAAGCTCGGCATTTTTGCTAAAAAGTCGGGCACGGACCAGATTAATAAATTGTTGGATAAATCCCTGAAAATAAGCCAAAAAAGTACTAAGAAACTTCATATGCATATACTTATTGAAATGCATAAAACAGGATAAGGTAGATAATGAACATCAAGCTAATGATAAAGAAGTCTGTTGTTTTTTTTGGGCTTATTGTTGTCCATTCTGTTTCTGCGCAAATTAAGTGAACAATGTGGAAGAAAAACTGCTAATACATACAGGGCCACAACTGCTGTCAAATTGGAGATCGACGTAGCTATCGGTCCTTTCAGTCCACTGGAGCTGAGGTTCCTGCACATCCGCAGCTAACTCGATAAATGTAAAATCCCACCGCTTAAAACTTTTGACATGGAAGGCACTAATATATAGACTTTTGATTTTCAAAATCATTTCTTTAGTCACGTGATGTATTACCAATCTGTACTATATTCATTGTCGAGAAAACTTATCTTTCAGAGACGTGTTCCAATGCAGCATGTTTTCAGAGAAAATATGTAGTCGTGGACTTACAGTGAGACGATTCTTGGAGAACTATCGTAGCTACAATTCAATCCGCTCCATAAGTGTTGCGCAGGAACGCAGGGATCACCCTGCCAGCTATCTCCGGTCAGCCCATATGCTTTCTTGACATCGTGCATGGCATTGACTATACCACCCCACAAAGAGCTACAATCATAAGGAAGTGGAAGAGTATTGAAACAAAACACCAAAAAAAGAGAGGAGAGCATAGATATGTACATACAGTCATCAAGAAAAGTCGGTGAATTCGGAAGCTGTGCCACGGAGAAAAACTCGATGGCATTTAGGAGAGGTGGCAAACTAGAGCGGGCCGTCGCATTAACAGTCAAGTTCAAATTATGTCCACTTATGGGCGATGAGGCTACCGTCACTGGCGTTAGGTTCTCGAGCATGATGGTTTCCACGAATTCGTCTTGTACATATACTGCGAGTTCTCTGAATTGTCCCTTTTGCAGTTGCAATTCCACAAAGTGAAAGTATATATACCAAACAGTATTGGAGTTGTCGGAGGTCCAGGACAGACTCAGAGGATCAGTGACATTTTGTACCTGTGTGGCGGTCATCAAAACTTCAGGCGGAACTTTATAGGCATCATTGCTTGTACTTGTCACAATGGCCGTCGTGTTGCCGACTGACGGCCAGTTATAAGTCTTATCGGCCCAGATGCGATCATATACATCTTGTGGATACCTATTAGTGCCGATGCCAATCAAATAATCATAATGGTAAGTGCAAAATGATGAACATGCCGACACAAATTAGTTTGTGAGTTTGTGTATAACAGAGTGTTTTCTATTATTTGTGCAGTTGCATTATGCCAAAATGCATGTTTAGTAAAATGCAAACAAGCTAACACGTTATTTACTGACCGATGAATGTGGTCAACATCCGAATATGATGGGCAATAACAATGAAAATCACCTGTATGTGTCTGTGCTCCCTAAATTATATCTCCATTTGGTTACAAGTGCACCGGAATTGATCTGGTAAATCGAGTTATCCAGCAACCGCAACTCAAGAGCTGATATGAATGGAACTCCCGAGCCGGTATTCACCAAGCAAACTTGAATATAATCTCTTGGAGGAGTGTAGATAATCTCTTCGTATGTCCAAGAAGAAGAGTTCACCGTGGTCCAGTAGTTAACATCAATCTGGAGGTCAAATGCCGGGGTTTGATTCTTGCCATCATAATTCCCATACCAAAAGTCAGCCCTGACCAAATATGTGTTGCCCTTTCCTTTGTCTGGCATTAATGTGTAACAATTCCTTGTTCCATTGGGGAAGACCCTGAGGTTCTTTGATTGTTGTAGGTAGGGGATGTCGATGAACTGGGTAGACACCTGCATGTCTGTTCCGGAATCTACAAACCCCGCATCAGGCTCGTAGTATATACGGAGCCCATAGTCAGTGTAATTATTAGGTGCCCCGCAATCAATGCTAATGAAACCTAAATCGAGGTGAAATAAGATATCGTCACTTGCTTATCACTATGCATCATGAATTCGAGATATAAACAGCATTATAAATCTCACCGCTTTAACTAGATAGAAATTCCAGCAATGAAAATTACACAGTGTAAGAATCGGCTCGATAATTGGAGGTCTGAAAAGAAGTTCTGATGGATAATCGGATGATGCAGGCATCTGTGAAAAGCCCGAAAACAGGGATGTCATTTGCAAAGATAGAGTAAGCTAGAGGATGATACACGGCCGACTGTCCAATATTTAGGAGGATTCCTAAAATGTTTCCTTAGAGAATCTCAAGCGGCCTTAACTTTGCTAAATTCCTAAATTTTAGCTCAAAAGATTGCTCTATGTTAGCTCTAAAACCGTAAAAACTTCTTGAGCTCGACTCTGCCTAAATACTAGGAGCTCATTTTTGAAATCAAATTGGAGTGTTCATGACTACATCTTGTCTTCTGCTTGAAAGGTCGATTGCAAACGGAAAGAGAGGTAGACACCGAATCATCACTGTGCCCTTATGTCTCAACTCTTCACAATTCAATCGTCAATTTCTCGCACGCGAGAGACACGAGGGAGAGAACCTGGATTTTGTTGACCGCGAGCGATGACTCCTAGAGCTAGACAACCAATCATGACCTGCAACATCTTCAGGATCTCTCGTGGCATATCAAAACCATCTCCGTTTGAGAGAGAGAGAGAGAGAGAGAGAGAGAGAGAGAGAGAGAGAGAGAGATTTGTAGGTACATTGCCACATGAAGCATAGGTAGAGCCATTAATAAAGAGTGGTATGCTCAGTAGACTTTATGACAAAAAAAAAGAATAAACTCAGTAGATTCGGTTTGCTATCTTGCACATTTTTGGCTTATACACACGCTTGACCTGGTAATGATTATGTCGCATTGCTTGGGTATCCTCGCTACTGCTGATAGGAGCACGAATGTTTCTAAGCTTCCACTATACAGCATTAAAATATTACCAAAATTCGGCATAAGGACACTAAAAGTGTAAAAAGTTTTTGCCGACTTAGTTAAGTGCCAAATCCGAGAAAATATGATCACCTCAGTGCATCCGGCGAAAAATTCCAGCAAAAAATATTACATCACTTTTATAATTAAAACTTTTAGGGAAAATATCACAAAAAACCGTAAACTATGCCATTTGTGACAAATTTACCCTAAATTTTTTTTTGTGACACGAAAAACCTCAAACTATGCCACTTGTGATCACCTTAGTGCATCCGGCAAAAAATTCTAGCAAAAAATATTACGTCACTTTTATAATTAAAACTTTTAGGAAAAATATCACAAAAAACCCTAAACTATGCCATTTATGACAAATTTACCCTGAATTTTTTTTTGTAACATGAAAAACCCCAAACTATGTCACTTGTGATAAATTTATCCTGAACTTTTTTTTGTGACACGAAAAATCCCAAACTATACCATTTGTGACACATTTACCTCACAATACTTTAGCCCATGGGCATTTTTGTCTTTTTCCATTTTTTTTTGTCTTTTCTTCTCTCTTCCCTCCACCAGCCATGGCGGAGGGAAGCCAGCGAGGGCGGCCCTCGCTGGTGTTGGGGTTGGGCGAGGGCGACCCTTGCCGGCGTCGGGCGAGATCGGGCCATCGGAAAGAGCCGTCTCTGCCCAAAACACCACGAACATGTTGGCCGAGTGGGCGTCAGCTATCCGATGGTCAAACGTACACGCCACCACTATTCCCCCACACTTTAGCTCCATTGCCTGAATGTTTTCCATCGAGAAATTTTGTTCAAATCTTAGCCTATTAGCAACTTATGCAGTGGACAGAATCAATCCCAACATAGAAATTATTTATGTCTTGATGAGATCTAGTATTACACATATTATCGACATATATTTGGCAGCTTGATCTAGTAGACTTCGTCTACATAGAAGACTTACTCATGCATCACCGAAAAGTTATCCTATGATGGACTTGATCTTCATAATCTATCGACCATACTATATTTTTTCGGCAACAGCATAGTTTTTGTCAAAGGAAACGATAACGTGTCCTGATTCAGCTACAATCTCTCCACCACTCGCTCATCAAGCAAGATCAATTCTTTCCAAAGAGAAAAGAGCACAATGACGTGTCTTGATTCAGCTACAATCTCTTCACCACTCGCTCATCAAGCAAGATCAATTCTTTCCAAAGAGAAGAGATCATGATTTTATTCTCCATTAATTCCGTAACCCTAGCTTGTATTATATAAAGACATCACAATGTGTAGCCGAAGAATGTAACAAAAAATTCTATTACTGAAACACAAAACACGTATTGGCAATTGCCACCCATTCTCATCTTGTTAGTTCATTGTTTTACATGGTATCAGAGCCATATCTTGCGAAAGCATAAATGGCAAACCAATCAGATTCAAATTCATCCCCATCTTCCCCAAACGCAGCAGCTAGCAATCAAACAATAAGCAACCCAATCCCAAGTGTTGCTAATCCAAGTGACCTCATCAAGAATGCTATCCCACCATGTCCTCTCATCCCTCCCACAGGGGGCTCATCTGGATCAATCACATGTCCTGCGGTTGGTATCAAATTAACCGGAGACAATTACATCATATGGAAGGTACGCCTCCTCCCCTTTCTTCGGGCCAGTCGACTCCTGTCAATTGTGGACGAAACCGAACCATGCCCTCCACACACTATCACTGAAATTAGTGAGAATGGTGTCACCAAAAGTTCACCAAATCCAGCATATGAAACATGGTTTACCCGAGATCAAATTGCCTTGGGGTGGATTCTCAATTCCACAGCTGACAACATCGTTGCACAGCTCTCCAATTTAGGCTCTTCAGCAGCCGTATGGTCCTTCTTGGCTCAATCATATGAAGCACGTAACAGTGCTCGCGCCACACATCTACGAATGCAACTTCAAACTCTCCGCAAGGGAAATCAAACAATCACGGAATATCTACAGCAAGCAGCCTTCCTTGTTGATCAACTTGCCTCGATTGGTGAGAACATCTCTTCACAAGAATATCAAACTCATCTATTCAGGGGACTTGGAGCAGAATATCAAAATTTAGCAGTGTCAATCTCCGTTCAAAGTCAGTACCAATCCCTTACACGTGAGTCTCTACACGGGCTGCTCTTGGCTCATGAGGCACGACTTGATTTGCTTGAGCCCATCACCTCCCCTCCAGCAGCGTTCATGACGCGGACAGCACACCAATCACCTCAACAGCTTCCTTCTCGTGTGGATAGGTCACCACGGCCTGGGCAACAATTTCCGCAAAGTGGACAGCACTCTGGCCCTCGAAATTCAGCCCCAAATTACTCTCCAAATGCAGGAAATTACAGAAATCAAAGGAGGGGTAGTGTTCGATGTCAAATCTGTAATCGTTTTGGCCACCGAGCCAATGTGTGCCGAGATCGTGGGCCTCCACCACAATCTTTAGGCTCGGCACCCCAGCTCCACATTGCTGAAATTCTACCACCACCATCAGTCTTTTCGGACCCGTGGTATCCAGATTCCGGTGCTACACACCACGTCACAAATAATCCATCTCAATTGTCCTCTCTTCAGCCCTACTTAGGCAACCAACACGTTACCATAGGTAATGGGTCTAGCCTCCCGATAACCCATATAGGTACTCTTGTTTCTCAAAATTTTCGTTTGTCCAATGTCCTAGTTGTTCCCTCTATAAAGGAAAACTTACTTTCCGTTCGTCAATTTTCACAGGAAAACAATTGTGATTTCATTTTCTCACCTAATTGTTTTTCTGTGAAGTGCCGCCGTACGGGCAAGATTCTCTTCCAAGGGAACCTTAATCAGGGACTTTATCAACTGTCGGATCAATCCAAGCTTTCTCCTTCAGCTTATTACCTATCTCAGTCCAGCTCCCTTGTCCGTTGGCACCATCGTTTAGGCCATGCTGCATATTCTACTATTTCTCGCATGTTAAATAAGTCGTCAGTTGTTCAACCAACTTGCTCGGCATGTGCCTCTAGTAAGAGTCATCGTCATCCTCATTCTCCCACTTTTCATAGATCCAAGGCTCCCCTAGAATTAGTTCATTTTGACATTTGGGGGCCAGCTCCTGTAACGTCTCGTCAAAATAATAAATATTATATTTGTTTTATTGATGATTACTCCAAATTTTCTTGGCTTTATATGTTCAACTCTCGTGATCAATTTTTACATATCTTCGTGGTCTTTCTAAACTTTGTTGAAAACCAACTCAATACCCGAGTTAAAGCCATCCAAAGTGACTGTGCCGGAGAATTTCTTTCTGCATCTTTTAAAAAATTATTGCAGGAGCGTGGCATTTATAAATGGACATCCTGTCCTCGCCTGGCCCTTCAAAACGGTTCGGCCGAGCGCAAACACAGACATGTGGTTGAAACGGGTTTGGCCATGATGCACCATGCATCTGTTCCCTCTCATTTTTGGGATTTTGCTTTTGAAAGTGCAGTTCACATTATCAACCGACTGCCTACTCCCGTTCTGTAGCAACGCAGCCCTTGGGAAGTACTTTTTTCTACCGCACCATCCATTGAGCATCTTCGGGTTTTTGGCTGCGCTGTCTACCCGAACCTACGAACCTATGCCAAGCACAAACTAGAGCCCAGGTCACATCGATGTATTTTCTTGGGATATCCCTCAGGTGTCAAGGGCTATCGTTGCTATTCTCCACAACAACAACGATTCTATACGGTTGCAGATGCCACCTTTGATGAGACTGTTTTTCCGTTTGCTGCTCCCGTCACCGACGAATCATCAAATGTGTCCCCACCAGCATCATTGGAGTTACCCCTTTATGTTCCCCCACTGACACATTTGAAACCTGATGATTCACATATGCAGGAGCCGAGGACTGATGCATCTCACATGCCGACAGCTGTGCACGGCAATCCCTCCACCTCCCGCTCAATATCTCTCCAACTCCAACCAGAAGTGCCATCTCCTACCACTGAAGCTATCACACATACCACAATCCAGCAGGCTACCAATCCGCCACCACAAACGGCGCCACTAGCCCACCCCATGGTGACCAGACTTCGAGACGGCATCGTTCCCCGCCGACATGTGCAAAAGGATCACACCTATGCACTCACCACTTTGGTAGCCATCCCATCTACACCATCTTGTTACAGTCAAGCGGTAAAAGACTCGCATTGGCGGGCAGCTATGGCCGAAGAGTACACCGCATTGCTAAAAAATCAGACATGGGAGCTTGTACCATCTCCTCAGCACGGTAAGCCCATTGGCTGCAAATGGGTCTTTCATATCAAGCTTCGTGCAGATAGCTCTGTTGAACGGTACAAGGCCAGATTAGTCGCAAAGGGCTTTCATCAACAGCAGGGAATCGACTATAATGAAACCTTCAGTCCGGTGGTGAAACATGTCACGATTCGTACAGTCCTCGCAGTTGCATTTTCTCGGGGTTGGCAACTCCGACAACTAGATGTCAAGAACGCTTTTCTCCATGGTCATCTCACCGAAGAAATATTCATGGATCAACCGCCTGGTTTTGTTGATCCCCACCATCCTCATCATATCTGCCGCCTAAAACGATCTCTCTATGGCTTGAAACAAGCTCCACGTGCCTGGCACCAACGTCTCAGTAATTTTCTCGTCTCCATAGGTTTTGTAGCTTCTACTGCTGACTCCTCCCTGTTTATACTGCATACAGCCCAATAC